AAGCCACTTTTGAAGTTGGAAATATGCTCTCTTCGAAAATTGTATAGCTGCTCCAGTAGTAGGTGGAATTTTTTCCAATTTAAAAGTACAAGTTTTTACTAGTTTTTTATAATGCTGGTATCTTAATTCATCAAGAGATGTATTAAAGTTCTTGCACTTATAAATCGATTTAATTAAGTTGCAGCCATTTCGAGCAATGACTTTTGGATCTGCATCGGCTGTGTAAAAAGGCTTTACTAAATTTGTTAGTTCAGGAGTAGCAATTAACAAATTAACTATTTTTCTTTTCCCTTTGCCTGCAAATCCAGAATTTGTATCACAACCAGAAAAACAGTGTAAAAATGCAATAATCGAACGGTAATCTTTATGCTGAAAACTATTTGACGAATAAATTGAGTCATTTGTATTGGCTGCACCTGGCGAGAGAAAATAAATACTTGCGTCGGATGAATTCAATTGATTTAATAGAACCAACAGATCTATGTCTTGTCCAACAACAACGACAGTTTTTTTGTATTCGGCAACACCTGTTGTTGTCTTTACAATCTTGTTTTTTTCGGCAATTTCAATGGCTGTATATATAATTAGCGAATCGGCATCTTCTTCAGCTTGTCTAACGGTATATCCTTCGAATCTAAATATTCTTGACAACTCTTTTATCAATTCTTTCTTATTTTTTTCATTAGATAAAAATCGGGCTTGTGAAAGAGTTATTTTGGTTTGCGGCTCAACTATAAAGGCAGGAAGTACTGAAGTGCTTTTTCGTCTTGAGCGTTCCGCTGTTTTTGTTGAGGATGTTGTAGTATTTGTATCTAACTTATTGTCTGGGTAGCCATCAAACACAATAAAACTGCCGTCTGTATAATGCTTGCGTACAAAATTCAAATATTTTTGAGTAATCACTTGCACAGTATCATTTTTTTGCCAAACGACTTTATGCAACAAAAATCCGCCATCAACAACGTGCACCAAGTCTCCGCGAGGGGGTTCAGTTTTTGTAAAATAACCAAACAGGTCCGATTTCGTATTTTTTCGAAAACCGTCTTCTGTAAAAATTGAGAGCGGGAATGGAGCAAGTTCGAATTTTAAATACATCCTCATATCAATCTTCTCAGTAATATTGGCGCATAATCGTTGAAACAATAATAATGGATCTATCGGAACGAGGTCGTCGTTAACTTTGATCGAGGCATGAATACTACTGAGAGCTTTGACTCTGTTCGTCCGTTTGAATGTTACTTCCCCAAACATTTTCCCCGTCATTTCTTTTACAGATGCCAAGCCTATTTCAAATGCTTTGTGACAGTTTATAGCATTTTTCGCTTCATTGCCTTTTTTTCCTTCCTTGAGATCGCCGACAATTCCAGAAAAAATTGACATAATATTACGTGTCTCTGGAAACGGATTGTACGTGCCAAAAAATTGTAATATTTTTTCAAGATCGGAAACGTCTCTCGTAATCCTTGATTCCGTCGAGTCGACATGTTGTTCAGAAGTGCAATAAGAAACATTGCAAAAGTTCTCCATTTCGTTGCATATATCAACTAGAATTATCATTGTTAATAAAAATTTTGTGCAAACGCTTTCACGGTTGGGATTACGGCCGTGCGTTAATCCGCCTTGTGTCTTCATCGATCTCATTAGTGCTTGCTCAATGGTCATGTCAGACCAAATTCCAGACTAAAACTTGTCAGTACGTCTAATCGTAAATAAACTATCTGCTTTAAATTTCTCAAAAGGATACTCTCCCATTGCATCTTTTAACTCCAACATATCTTGCAGATATATATGAGCTGATTTTGCATAATTATTATGGCCGGATGCATGAAAATACGGAATCATTCGTTTAACACCTTCGAGATGTAGATCCCAGTCTCCCGAACGTTCAGCTTTTATAAACTCTTTAACGACCGCCAACATATTCCAGTACTGAATCCACAATTGCGCCGTTGGTCCTTTTTTTTCTATGTCATCGATATGTTCTGTAAATTTGCGTTGAATGTCTACAATCTTTTCATTTTGCATATCATCTGTTAAATTCCCTTTGCGTAAATTCTGCAAAAATCCGTCGAACGTTGCCTTTTGTTCGTCCGTTAATTCAAGTGATTCAAAAATAATTGTTGCTAAAGCCAGTTGAACAAGAAAATGTGCTCGAATGGATCTGGAATACGCATGTCCGGTAAATGCTTTTTCTGCAGAATTATCAGCATATACACAGGCAAAAGCTTCTTTGAGTCCGCTTCCATCCATTATAAATCCAATTGACCCTAGGAACGACATTAGCGTATGGAATCCACCAAGTCTTACTCTAACATTCATTAAACCATATTCGTCATTTGTTGGATCTACACATGATAAAATGTAACGAGCCTTTTGATACAGCGGTTGATCAAATGTAACAAAACAAATAGTTTGTTCATGCTTATCTCTGGTTTCTACAGATGCTTTCACCAATACAGTAAAAATTGTATTCCAATCTCTTGGCGGATTATTAACAAATGGTAACGGAATAATTTTCGACATTTTGTAGTCACAATTTGAATGAAATTCTTCCATAAAGCCGCTGTAGCCATTTGATTTTTTATTAGAATATTTCGAATAAAGCCAGGTAAAATCTTCAATCGACATCTTTGGTTTGTTAAAATCATTGGTTAAAATATCCTTCACAATTACTGTTTTTAGGCCCTGTGCATTTTTTTTTTCGAAATGTAATAATGGTATAAATCCAAACTTGCCAACAACTTCTGAAGTAGGAATTTTCTTCAATCGAGTAATTTTTTTTTTGATATGACATCTGATGACGGAGTTGCAACCTTAATACCTCCCATCACGTGCATCGTGTTTTTTCCATCAAGTGTACAGGTATTATGATCAGCATTGTCAAAGACGTATTGAACAAAACACTCAGATTTACAAACATGATTTTCAGGATCATCTAAAATTGACGCTTCAAAGCGCAAGGTTTCGTCGTAGGTCGCACACAAACCCAAATATGACAATGAATCAATCAAGTCTCTTGATGCATATTTTTTGTGCATCATAGATGACAGACCGAGTAAAATTGGCGATAAAAATGTACGTGGCCGGGCTGACATTATTATACTATGAGCAATTGTAGCTATTCTCTTTTTCCACTTGAAATCATTTTTTCTACTTACAGCTTTGTGATTTTTCATAACAACATCAAGAAAATTTGTTAAAGATTCTGGTAAACAGTTATCGTAAACAGTTGATCGGATGTCCTCCAAGATAATTTTTGCTGCCATTTTAACAATTCTCTTTCGTTCCAATTCGACATCTTGTTGTTGATTTTTATACCATTCTTGCCAAGCTTGCTTACTAATTTTATTTCGAAACAAAATAATTAGATCTGATTTTAAATGTACAAATTGTATTTCGTCGGGATAGGCCTTGTTGAATCTCGACTTAATGGTTTTTAGTTCTGGAATAGTTTCGCCTTTGAATTCTTCTTTAATCTCGTTTAGAGAAAATTGACTGTCACTTTGATTTTGATCGATATAATTTAGCGCAAATTCTATAAACTCTGTCGTATTTTGGCTTGGAGGGCGCCTAACTTGATTCGAAAGTTTTTTCATATAAAATTGAGACATACAATCTGGATGATATCTAGCTTGAATTTTAGGCAAGTCTGGATTGTTTCGCAAACGTGCAAGTAAATTTTTATCAGATATACTCGACTTTTCTCGTTCTTCAAGAGCTTCAATTATTTTATCCCTTGTTTCAGGTTTCTGTACAAATTTAATTTGATCCTTGGGTAAACAAGTACCGCCGCAAAACAGACAAAATTTTTTGAAAATCGAAATCGAGAGCATCTTTGACTATTTTTTTACCTTCCAAACTTTTTCTCATGTGTTCTGTTGAAGCATTATGTATTGAACTTCTTCTATTATATTTTTTCTGACAAGTAAAGTGTACATGGGCTGATGCTACTTTTTCCAACGACTTAAACTTGTTGTCTTTTCTTTGTTTGCTAGAATCTATAAGAGTGTTTATCGCCTTACTATGAATCGTCCTTAAATCTCCACCACATTCATTGCAAATAATACAAACAGGATTATCCATACTGCGAATCTGTAAAAAAAATTTTACAATGCTATCAAAACTATTAAAAGAGTCGACGTACATTTTAAGAAAAAAAAGTGAAGAAAATGTTAATAAAAAAACAGTTGCAAATTCGTATAAAATTCAATTCAAATTTGTAAGAACAAATTATTTGATTAATTCAAACGCTACTCTTGTTCGTTAAATAAAAAAAAAACCTAGAAAAATGTAATAACTTTTCATTTCCTGGACAAAAAAAAGTAAAAATAAACGATAGTCAAAAATTTTTATTTTTAAGCAACAAATTAATTCTTTTTCAAAAAAATAATAACGCCATTATTAATATTTCGACGAGCTACCCCAATTTAAAAAAAAAAAGAAGATCGAACGTTAATTCTAGGCCGAGATGCAACGTTTTTTTCCGGACGGTCGAATTTGAAGCATTGCGTTCGAAAATCAAGCGCTCCGCACGACGGACCGAACAGTCGTACGCCGGCATCGGCCGGTATCATATCCTAACCTCTTTAATTATAGCATTACATAGCAATTAATTTTTTAATTAGATCGAAAAAACGTATTTGGCCAATTCTGTCTTTCGACTATTTAACCCATAATTGTTTATTTAACACTTAATAACTGCATAAACTATTAAAAATACGAAGATATTAATGAATTTTCACTCACCTTGGCACGAAACAGTTTCGGTATATAAAATCCAACCACGAGGTCTTTGAAACAATATTGTTACAAACACTGCACGTCGACGCCGGTGCTCCTTGATGCAGAATATTTCCGTCTCTGTACACGCGTGGCACAATATTTTTAAGAGCAAACTGTAAGTCCTTCTCACTTAATAGCGGTACGAATGGCAGTTGCTGCGAAACCAGACTGAGTCCACGTCCGATTCCCGCCACTTTACACCTACATCCATGGCAGCACTGGGACGCAGCAGCTGCTCCTAGTTGAAAAGGGAAGGGGAGAGGGGGAGGGGGGTCCTGTACCGGATAGGCTATTCTACCTGTGGAAAATTTTGGGGTACAGGTAGTACCGTTAATTACCTTTGCCGCCAATATTCCTTCGTTCTAGTTAATTCCAGAACTTAGGATTTAGAATAATAATTTAGAAATACGTTTTCTTACGTATTTTTTCTGGTAGAATCGAATGGATGAACTAGTTTGTGCATTTTGTAGTTAATTTAAACAAATAATCAACAATTAAACAAAAAAACTAAGTTCCAAAAGCGATTTTTTTGGTTTTTCGCATTTTTAAACATATTTTTCCATAGTGACCTCTATATATTATTAAATAGTTGAAAAGTACATTTAATAACAAAAAAAAGGCGACCCAGTAGAGCATTGCACGATCATTCTCCTGGCCACAAAATCTTTTTGAAAAAGGGGGTGTTTTTTTGAAAAAATCGAATATCTTAGAAACTATTCGCTTCTCCAAACTCCAAAAATTTGTAGTTATTCTAGACATTCAAAAGTAGTATTCCACCAAGTTTCATCAAAATTAAATCATTTTTCGAGAAATGAAAAATAAAAAACCGAAAACTTGATTTTTTGCATTTAACTCGGAAATTTTTAGGTTATGTAAAAAAGTGCCCTCTACAAAAGTTATATATTTTTTCAAGACCTACAACTTTTGTATTTAACATTTTTTGATAAGATGTCAACTTTTACCGGAAATCGCCAAAAACCATTTTTACCCCCTTTCAACCCCCCTAGTAAACAGGTTACCTCACGGCTGCTTGGACATTAATTTTTTTTTTCATCCTTATAAGTCCCTTGACCACCCCCAATAGTCGGTTTTCGGATAAATTTTTTTTCCTCTCAAAACCTAATTTGCCTGGTCTATAAATCGTGCGATAAACGCGCTTCCCTTCGAACTAAATATTCCCGGATATCAGTTTTGCGGTCCGGGGACGCGATTGGAGAAGCGATTGGCCAGAGGCGATCGAGGTATTAATTAATTGGATGCTGCGTGTCGCGAGCACGACATAGCAACGATCTCACCGAACGACACGCGGCTGATAATATACTCGCTGA